TTAAACTACATATTGTATAAATTTGATACAAATTGGTTGAGATATTAAAAAGTTTTATTAGAAGCATTTTTTTGTTTTCTATATAAAAATTCAATATACTATGTAGATCATATGAAAATTAATCTACATACACCCTACCCTTAAAAAAAGATAATGATGATACTTTCCTGCTAAATTCCATATAATATTGTCTATGTATACTTTATTTACAATTTTCAAATTAGAAAAATAGAAACCTTTAAAGCACAGAACAATTGACAAAGTACAAGGTAAAAAGTTTTATTTAATGAACATACAGTATATATATGTATGTATAATAAGTAAATAGAGGTCTATCTAATAGAATTTAAATAGTGCTAATCACTATAGCCAATTAATCGATAGTAACTAGCACACATTCAAGATATGCTATTAAAAAGAAAATATTATGTAAATATTATAAGGTTTAACTAATAAGACACATAAGCAATAAAGATAAAGTTTACTATTGTAAATGTATTTTTGTATACAAATTCAAAATAAAGTTATATAGCAATGCATACATTAAATTATGGAATCAAAAGTCAATTTATACAACCTAATATATATAAAATCAAGATCAGATCAAGATAATATAAATATTTTTGACAAAAATCATTTGTTTTAGCCTAAAAGGAAATGTGACTAATGACAAGTAAGGTCACAATAATAAATAAAATGTTTAATAATCTTAAACTTTATTGGAAATAATTTACTAAAGAGTTTTTAACATATATTTAACAAACATGTTAATAATTATTTCTATCAAGAGAATTTATTCTAATCTATTAGCAGGTTGTTTTAAAATCACCAAAAATTATAATTATATTATTTTTACAACCTTGTATCACTATAATAATAATGAGATTAGCAACTTAAGTTTAGCACAAAGGTTTAATTGAATGAATGAGCAAGTGTAAGCAAGATTTTATTTAATATACAAAGGAAAAAAAATAAAATTGTAGAGGTAAGTGTTTGTTTACTTTTATTGAATAAATTTACTATGAAATAAGCTCTTTTTTTTTATTAATATTAAGTTTTTTTACACAAGGATTTATATAAGTGATCTAGAAAATGAATATAGTAAAATAAATAATCAGAAAAAAAAATGTTTTTTTATATTACAAGTAAAAAAATTAAATTCTAATTTATTAGAAATTAGAACTTAGTGATCAACAGTATGAATGTTCTTGTGTTAATCAATACTACAAGTTTATTTTCACATGACAACAAAAAATTATAAATATATACCAAATATAATAAAAAAGGTTTGAGTGTATGCTCAAAGCACTTAGAATGATCTGAATGATCTAATAAAATAATAAGATTTTATAAAATTTTTATACAAATATCCTTTCTGTTTTAGTCTAAAAGGAAATGTAGTAGATCACGAGTAAGATTATAGCTAATAAATAAGATGCCTAACACTAATTATAAACTTTATTAGAAATAATCAACTGCATGCCAACAAAGAAAGATTAAAGAGAGTTAACTTGCTATTTTAATGACAAGATTAAGTTAATAGTATTAGAATTATTATGTTTTTTATTGTAAGTTAACTGTAAAAAACCTGTTACAGAACTTACTCGCTATTCTGGTGATATACAGCATGTAGTTAAGATTGAGTTAGTTTACATCAATATTATTGTAATTTCTATTAAATTACTATAAAATTTTTTATAGAATTAACTATTCTAATAACATACAATATGTAAAGTTAATTTGTTTAAAATTAATTTGTTTTTATACAAAGCTTGTAATTAAAGTTGAGTTAGTTTGCAATATAAATATCATAATTGTTTTTCATGAGTTACTTAAAAAAATTTGATACAGTAACACACTGTGTATAGGAAGTTGGTTGCATTGGAATTTTTGTCATGAGTTACTATAAAAAAATTAAAATAGAACTTAACTCTCTATTCTGGTGACACACAGTATGCAATTAAGATTAACAATTAAACTATTGTAATTTCTATTATGAATTACTGTAAAAAGTTTTTACAGAATATTTGGTAATACACAATATTCAATTGAGTTAGTTTGTATTAGAAATATCATGATTTCTACAATAAAAAATTGTTACAAAACTTAACTATTCTGGTGTATATGTTAGACATCATTTTCAAATTTCTGTCATTTAAAAAATGATATACATAGCTTTGAAATTGTAAATTAAAGTACTTCATATTTTAATTGGTATCAGTATGATTTTATCAATAAAAAAAAAACTTAAAAATTTATTAATTATTGTATTTAATTTCTATTATAATTGTTACTACATGTTGAAGATTAAACAATTATATAATCTAAAAACCACTAAATAAAAAATAGTTCTAATGTCCTTTGCATGTACCTCGCCAAATTAAACTACAGAAAACCCTCCCTAAATACATCCTCTTTGGACCAAGCACAGGTGTGCATTTAGGGAATATCCTTTCTCACATGGCAAGCACTTACATATTATTAGTTGTACAAACCTATGTAGTACGTATGTACGTATGTATGTACATATATATATACCAATACTTGTTGTATTTATAAATGCTTTTATCTCTGTTCATTTTATTTGTCATATTCCCATAGTTATACTATATATATATATTCGAACGATTTATAGTTACTAATTTTACATTAGGCTAATCAAAAGGGCCATTTACAATTTCCGGTAACAATTTTAAAAAACTTATTTTGAGAACATTAAAACGGTTTATTTAAAGTATTTAATATTTAACAGTTAATAAAAATATGAAAGAAGTTACTGAGGGTAAGGAACAATAAGAATTTACTTTTATAAATTAAAATATTGATTCAAATTTGCTTGTTTCATCAAACCAACTCGTTTTGCATTAACATATTTTTCAATACTATCAATTTTTTTTATATTCTTCTTGCTAGAGTAAAAATATACGCATTACTTCCAAGCTTTTTAGTGTCTCGTTTGTGCTTATAATTGCTGTTTCAACACTATCATCTGCTTTATCAGAATCTTCATCATCAGATTCTTCAGGCCTTTCTTTAAAGATTTCAATAATTTCAGCTATCATAGAGTTTTTATCAAGAATTTCACAAAAAATTTCTTCTTCGTGAATAGCTAGGAAATCAACTACTTCCATTGAGTTAGGTAAATTAAGATTTTCAATCGAATTTGAAAGATTTAGCATTTCATCAGTTTCTTTGATCTCTTGACTATCTTCTGAAAAAATTTCATCATTATTATTTGAAAGGATGTTGGTATAATGCCAACAATTATAGATTGTTCTTTCTTTAACTTTATTCCATGCTTTAATAATATAATGAATTTCTCGTAAGATATCCATTTTCAGATCCTTCACATTTTTTCCACTTTCGACTTTTTCTAACATCTACTGAATATGAAAATGATGATAATTTCTTTTGAATGCCATTATGATCTCAGCATCCATTGGCTGGATTTTGGAGGTTGTATTTGGAGGTAAAAAAAGAATTTCAATATTTAAAAAATCTAAGGCATCTATATTATAACTTGAGCAATTATTAAGAACTAATAAAACACATTGACCATTATGTTTTTTTGTAATTTGCAGATTAAACCAATAAAGCCACTCTTGAAAAAGAGTTATAAGCATCCAGGCTTTGGTATTATTATGATAAAGGATTAGTAAGTTAGAAATCTTAACATTTTTAAAGCATCGTGGCTTTGCATATTTTCTGATTACCAAGGGATTTAGTTTATGGGAACTATTAGCATTTGCACATAGTGCAATAGAAATTCGCTCTTTGTTTTTTTTACACCCAGTAAGACGTTGTATTGCTAATGAATAATCAGGTTCCAACCTATAAAAAAGAGCCGTTTCGTCCATATTGTAAATTTGTTCAAGAGGATATTCGGCACATTTTTCTTGTAATAAAAGAAGAGAGTTAATAATAATAGCATTATCAACAGATCCTGCTTCTCCATATAATTTTTCTTTATAAATTACATTTTGTTTTTTAAATTAATAAAGCCAGCCTGAAGAAAATTGTAATGTACTATCAGGAATTCCTAAACTTTTAGAAAGTTGCTTTGCCTTTTCAATCAACATAGCTTCGCTTATAACTGTATAATGCTGATATGTTAATATGAATTCTTTAAGGGCTAGTTCAAACTGGAGAACAGTAACAGATCTATTTCACCTTTTGTTTGGGTTATCAATTTTAGCAGTAAGCCATTTTTCTTTTGTTTGCAAAATTCTTGTAATAGTTAATTCATGAACTTTAATGCCCTATTTTTTCTTAATTCATTCTATATATTTACTTTAGGTTATTTTATTTTCATTGGCAAACTGACAAAATTTAAGTTTTTGAACATCAGTTAAGGTAGTTTTAGGTAGCATAATAATCGTTAAGAGGTTTTGGATAACAGAAAAAAAATCAAATCTTTCAAGTGAATTGCCAACCCGAATAATTTGCCTACTCTATATATTTTAGTGAATCAAAAAAAAGATCTATCTTATTCCATTTAATCAATCTACTTTATCAAACAAACAAGATCTTATATCCAGAGCTATGTAAAGGAAGTATTTTTGTACAAATTAATTTTCTATAAACATTTGATTTATTTAATTACTAACTTTTTATCTTTATTCTTGTGAATTCGAAGCATTTTCTAAATTCACAGTACTAAGCCTATTCATTTTTGAATTTTTTCTCATATTCATGCTTGACTATAAATGTAATTACTTTCTTATTTTGGTTAGCAACCTTGGGTAATTAAATCATATACATCTTGATATCATATACATAATAAATAATAATAGATTATATGTTACGATTTGATATAAATAATTATTTTTGAATCTAGAAAAAAATGTTATTATGTATATATAAAATTGGTTTGGTTTAAAATAATTATACTTTGTCTGTTATAAGGTTGAGCGATACTACCAGTATAGCACTGAAATCTGACTAAATATTGATTTAACAAACATTCGCTTGTTTATTATCTTCATTTAACAACAATAGATATGATAACAGCAAAGTTAAGTATTATTCTCTTATTCAATTGTGCTTTTGATGCGTGAGATTCTAAAATTGAAACTATTTCTTTAATCTTATATTACTTATTTATATCGACATATTATATATTTATATCATCTAATTGTCATTACGATACAATTATTAGTTCATAGCTAAGTTTAAATTAACTTTAATATTGTTTTGCATAGTCAATTTAACTTTTGATTATTGCTCTTACTGTTATTCATGTGATATATGCCGATATGCCAACTTATGACCTAATTCTGCATTGTATATTGGCTGTAAATAATTAAAATTTTAATAAAATAAATAAATTCTTTGCTTTGCAATGAGATCTCTAAGATAGCAAATTACAATATATATAAAGGTACATTTAAGGAAGTTATTTTTATATATGTAATATATAGATGGGATCTAAAAAATTATTGCACATGCAGGTTAGGGAGGATGCACTTAGCTCTTAAGTTCCAAGCATGGGACTGGGTTAAAGAATGCATATATGGAGAGTGTGCATTTAGGGGGTGTATTTAGAGAGGATTCTCTGTATAACAAAAAGTACAAAGAGTATTGTTCTTATAACAAGAACAACTTCTACTTTTACAATTTGTTTTGTTACAATAACAGCTATCATTTTTCTTAATGCCTTGTTCAGTTTCTTGTTTGGACATTTTATTTGTTATATTTTTAAATGGTCTTAGTATTTGGGTTAAGTTTTGTTAAGCACTAGCATTTTGTAAAAAAATAAATTTGCTTATCAAATTACATCAAGTTTAGGAAATTGATCAGTATCTAAGGATTCTAATTCATTTGCTGAAAACCATGTATCCAAAATTCCAAAGTTGCTTCCAACTTAATATGAGTCGCAACTTGGTTTTTTTAAATAATGTATTGCTTCTCTATTTATTTTTAGCCTATCAATCTCAGAAATCTGAATCTTTATGAGATCACCAGGTTAAAATTTAACACACATTTTTTAGTTTTATATTGTTTTTCTATAAAATTATAATTTATTTGATGGTTTTGGGTAACATGTTGATTTGCTATCTCTTTTAATTGTACAAATTGACTAAAACTTGTACAAGATTAATTTTCAAATAATGAATTTGATAGTATAGAAGATAAATTTTTAGCTATGTTATTATATTTAATTGGTGTAAAATCTTCGTTATTTAAATCTATAGCATTATTATAAGTCAATAAATGCTAATAAATTATAAAGAATATATTAATAGGGTTTAAAAAATATATGCATGTGTACTGCAGTACACCCTAGCTGTATCTCAAAATTTTATTAGGGTAACCTCTGTTGTGTAACTAACAAAAAATAATCATTACACAATTTTACCTAACTCTAACTCTAACTAATTGTAACTTTACTTAAAATCTGCTATATCTTAAAATTTTACTAGGGTAATTCTCTGTTGTGTAATTAAGTAAAAATACTCCTCTCACAATTTTACCTAATTCTAATCTAAACTCTAACTCTAACTTTAACTCTAACCCTAACTCTAATTCCAACTAATCTTTTTATTAGTTTTGAAGAGGTGCACAGCTGTGCAAGTACACAAAATTAATAAATCTATATTAATAAATTAAAAGTAATTTTACTAAATATATAAACATATTAAGTTTTATCTTGTCTATCATGTTCTATGCCTTAATAAGCTTTGTATATAACAGTATAAAAATCTTCAATCAGACAAACTTGAGTATCACAATTATGTTTATTAGATTTAATATTCAGTTATTGATAATTTCAACATTAATTAATTTAAAGATATTAAGAACCCAATATTTAAAGTTTGGATTTTTATGTTTATTTGACAAGCTTTATAAAATAGTTAGACAATGATCATACTTAGAATGATTCATTATTTGTCCTTTATTTTTTCTAATATTCATGTAGTTATCAATAATTTTTGAAAGTTTGAAATGAAAGAAATAAAAAAAGCAAAGAATTTGAAGCTATATTATGAAAAATAACAAAGAATTATTATTATTTTTTTTATATAATAATCAATCTAATTTATTAAATTCATATATTAAACTTGAGTTAATTGATATATATATATATTAATTATATTATTTTTAAAACTACATAAGTTATATTTTAATTGGTATAAATTTTAAACTCAGGTATGTTAATTTTGAATTAATAGTTATTTAAAAGCAACGTATAACATATACAGTATATGCTTAAGGTTTAGTTGGTTTTGTATTAGAATCAATAAGTTGAGCTGCTATAAAAAACTCCATTACAGAACTTGCTATTCTGATATCATATAGCTTGCATTAGAATTATTATGATTTTATCATGAAGTATAGTATAGTGCTATAAAAGCTCTGTTATATATTTTACTCACTATTTTGGCAATGCACAATATGTAGTCAAGTTGTGTTAGTTTGTATTGAAATTATAATAATCTTGATCCTGAGCTATTGTAAAAATTATAATACAGATCTTATTTGTATATTTGTAACACATTGCATATAGTTATAGTTAAGTTAATTTGTCATGATTTTTATTGCAAGTTACTATCAAAAATTTTGAAACACAGTACTGCAGTATGAAGTTAACGTTAAGTTAACTTGTATTAAATTATTATGAACTTTATCATAAATTTCTGAAAAAATTCTGTTACTTACTATTTTAGACAAATTAATGTTAGCAAAAAATGTTAGGTAAAAAAAATAATATAGATCTATATATATATATATATATATATAGTTAGTAAGAATAGATTTTAACAAATTGCACCATTTTTCAAAAATAGTAAATAGAATAAATTTACCAGGTATGCGGCATTACAGTAATGGATAGAAATAGTGACAAATTTTTTAAATTTAAGTTGAAGAAAATCAATGCTAAAAGAAGTGGTAGTGCTATTGAATGATACAGGTTGAGGAGTCGAACTGAATAATTGCAGAATTGGATATTAATGTTGTGTCTCATATTGGCGCTTGCCTTAGATGTTATTTTTTTTAGCCAGTATTATACAGGTCGAAATAAGACAAATTGAGTTCAAATCAGTATTACAAAATCCTGATATAATCCTGATATAAAACAAATAGGGCATCTATAGGATATATTCAGATTGATATCATCATACAAGACATATTGGCAAAACTATAGCTCAATAGATAAATTGATAGAGCTATAAGTTAAGCTCTATTGATTTATCTATTAAGCTATTATTTTGCCAATATGTCTTGTATGCTAATATCAATCTGAATTGTATTCTATAGGTGCCCTATTTGCACCAAATATCTGAGGTTTATATTAGGATTTGTGATGCCGATTTGAACCCAATTTGTCTTATTTCGACCTGTATTAACTAATTGATATTAATTAGTCTAAATTAGGCCC